AAAACCTAAAACCTAAATCCTAAAACCTAAACCCTAAAGCCTAAAACCTAAACCCTAAAGCCTAAACCCTAAACCCTGAATCCTAAAACCTAAAACCTAAACCCTAAATCCTAAATCCTAAAACCCCAAACCCTGCTGCCCGACCTTGAGGCTGAGGATGGGGGTCTGCCCAGCCACCTGAGCGTCTGCCCATGTCCGGTTTGTAAGGACCCGGTAACCATAAAGTCCCAGGAAGAGCTGCTCCTGGCTTGTGGATTTAGGAATTACGATTTAGGGTTTAGGATTTAGGGTTTAGGGTTTAGGACTCTAATAGAGTTGTATAGGAACATAGAACATAATTCAATGCGATTGTATTGGGATAATGGACAAGAAAATGGAAACTACTACTCAGGGTTTAGGGCTTAGGGTTTAGGGCTGAAGGTTTAGGATTTAGGGTTTAAGGTTTAGGCATAGGGTTTCGGGCTTAGGGTTTAAGGTTCAGGGTTTGTAAGGTTTGGGGTTTAGGGTTTCAGGTTTAGGGTTGAGGGTTTAAGGCTTAGGTTTGAAGGTGTAAGGTTTAGGATTGAGGGTTTAGGGTCTGCTCCTGGTGAAGAAAATGGTCAACGGCACAGGTTGCCGCGCTCTTCCAGGTGGCTGGGGTGTGTGGCCCTGCTGACTCTGTGATGGCACGCAATGCAAGGTTCGAATCCTTAGTTCCATAGAACCGAAGATATAGTAGCTTCCCAAATCGAGGGACCCCCCATATAGGCCCCTAAAAAATATCTGATCCTTATTGTAGGGACCTCCAAAGTAATACCTCTAATGTTGGGAAATCCTCATATGAGCCATTGTCTAAACTCCTAGTATCCCCCTTAAGAACCCCTATAGTAGCCCCCTATATGATCCCTTATAGTAATCCCCTTTAAGGAGTTTAGACTATAGCTCATAGGGAAGAGAGGCTGAGCAAACTCATCTGAAGCCTTCATGGTGCCGAGAGGCCAAGTCTGTTGAGCAGCCAAACTCCCCATCCAGGTCTACACTTTGGCTGCCTGCCCGTGGCTCCCATTGAGCACGTACGGGAAGTGGCTGCGACCTCAGAATTACACAAATCAGACGCATAATGCTAGTGATTGGTGCTGAAGATTGGCATGCTCGGGTGTTGCCCTGAGGCGCAAACTTGATGGATTCCTGTCGCGGCGTGGCAGTTTGAAGCTAGGCCACGTGAGAAGCAGAAGGGTGGACTACAAGCAGAGTTGGCGTCCTGGCGCTGAAACTTGAGAAGCAACACCTGCGAAAACCGCAGCTGCTGCACCATGCCGAAATACTCGGTGGAAAGGTTGGCTTGGACCAAGAGGTCCCGCTCCTGTGACGAGAGATCGTGACTTGAGAAATCTAATTCCCAAGATGTGGGGACCTCTGATGGTGCATGATTTCTTCCATCAACAGTACAGCGCGATCCAAACCAGTCCTCGACGGAAAGCTCCGGATGGGTCGTGTTCCAGTTGCTCAGAACTCCTTTGGCATGGACGGACGCCACCAGAAGTTTGTGACCAAACTCCATGACCTCGCTGGGCGGGTCACTAGCATAAAATATAATATAGTATACTATAGTCTACTATGGTATATTATAGTATACTATAGTATAGTATAATATACTATAGTATACTATAGTATACCATAATATACTATAGTATTCTAATGGCATGAAGGATGTGCCAAAGACGCTGAGAGGCCGCAAATCCAAGCTTGCATCCTGGAACAGGTCTCAGCACGACCTCATGCCACACAAAGACCCCCAAAACACACGTAGGTGACACAAAGAGCGCCAAACACTGTAAGAATAAGAAGACTGCTCATAATGATAATCATGTTAAGTATACTCACACTACTGTTCATATTAATCTGAAAAAAAACAGCAATATTCATATGAATGATTTCCAGCGCAATGCACACTCCCAAGTGGGCCTCAAAGCTTTCGGGCTCATCCTGGACAAGAAGTCCGACCGCAGTGACCTCATCAGCACGCGTCCTCAGCCATTCGCAGTATGTTGATTGGCTTAGGGCTTAAGGTTTGGGGTTTATGGTTTAGGGTTATATACGGTTGTATAGGGAAGGGCCTCTTGTATGGGTCTATATAGAGATTATCTAGAGATCCAGGGGAATGGAAAAGACAATTCAAACACCTTTGAGGCTTTAGGGTTTAGGATAGGGTTATAAATGGCTGTGTAGGGATACCTAGGGTTGTATAGTGATTTTGAAGGTCGGCTGGTATCTGCCAGAGTACTGTGCTTTTGCATATGGTAGGCTATCAAAATAATGGTCTGCTTTTGGGTCCCTAAGACAATATGGCCCCCAAATATTTAGGGGGCTCCAAAAGGGGGCATAATTTTGACAACCCTGAACGCTCAAACCTAAACCCTGAAACCCTAAACCCTTTTTTTGAATCGGAAACCTAAACCCTAACCAAACCCTTTTTTGAATCGGAAACCCTAAACAGCCCTAAACCCTAAATAGCTTCCATTGTCTTTTCCATCATCCCTATATAACCCATACATAACCCCAACATTACCTCAATAACCCTAAAAGAATGGAACCCTAGACTCCTAAACCCTAAATCCTAAACCCTAGACCCTAAACCCTAAGTCCTAAATCCTAGACCCTAAACTCTAAATCCTAAACCCTAGACCCTAAACCCTAAGTCCTAAACCCTAGACCCTAAACTCTAAATCCTAAACCCTAGACCCTAAACTGATTACCCTAGACCCTGAACCCTAAACCCAAGATGAGCATCTGGGAGGTGGCCTCCGCAAGAAGAAGCTCCAAGGCTGAGCTTGACTGGCTTTGGCGTAAGTCCTCCGGACCCCTATATAATAGGGTTTAGGGTTTAGGGTTTAACCCCTATATGACCCCTATATAACCAGCCACGCGTTTAGGGTTTAGGGTTTAGGGCCCCAATATAAGCCCTATATAACCCCAATAGAAGGGGTCATATAGGGATTATAGGGCATGCATTGGGGTTATTTTGGGATAATGGAAAATAGAATGGAGGCTACTATTTAGGGTAGGGTTTAGGGCCCCCCTTAAGTAGATAGAATCCGGCTTTGGGTAGATTACAATCAGATCTCCATATCTTCCCCATATTCTATCTACTTAAGGGGCCTATAACCCAAACATAATCCCTATATAGCCCCAAAATAAACCCTATATAACCGGAATATACTCCCTATATCACCCCTACCCTAAACCCTAAACCCTAAAAAATATCTGGCTTTGGCGCAAGTCCTTTGGACTTCAAAGTTAAGTCGTCATTCTCCTCTCTCAAACATCATCCGAACCCTGAACCCTACCGTCCCCCCTAAGTAGATAGAATATAGGGGTTATATTGGGATGATGGAAAAGAAAATGGAAACTACTATTTAGGGTTTAGGGTTTAGGGTCCCCCTTAAGTAGATAGAATATGGGGTATATGGGTATCTTGTTATGATAATGTTCACTTCCATGTTCTATGTACTTAAGGGGAAGCTATATACCCTAAACCCTGCATGGCCACCCGCCTCAGCGTCGGCTCCTCCGGCCTTTCTGATGGGCAGCTGCAGCTGCAGCTGCTGCGGGGGCTGCGGGGGCTGCGGGGGCTCTGGCGGCTCTGGGGCATTGGCAGCATCGGAATCGACTTCCATGCTTTGGTCTGGTTGCGTTTAGGATTTAGGGTTTAGAGCATCTGGAAGACGTACAAGCTTGAAATCGAGACTCTAAGATGACCTAAAACGGCAGCTGGCACTCATGCCTAAACACGATGCCAGCTGCATGAGACACGAGTTTTGATCCAGCTCCGGAAACGCAAGCACCTGAAGCTCAGTCCAACTTGGGGGTTTCCCAAAATTAGGGGTACCTTTTTGGGGGTCCCTATAATAAGGACTATAGTATTTTGGGGTCTATATTGGGGTCCCCTTATTTTGGGAAACTACCAGCAGTTGCGGGGAGATGCCTCATCTTCAAAGACGGACTTGAGCACCTGCTTTGCTTTGCAAGAGTCACGCATAGACTCATAGAAAGTAGAAGCGCAGCCGCATAAGGAGGCCTCAATCTTGTCATCTACGAAGTGCGAGATTCCAAGCTTTTCGCAAACAACTCCTTTGCCTTGAGGCCTCGGATACACAGCATGCTTCTACTGGGTGAGCACATGAATTCCAAGCTTACCTCTGATTCGCAGGAAATGAAGACATGGAAAAGAAAATGGAAACTATTGCATGAAGGATTCTGTATGGGCTAGAATAATATCCATTTCTTCCTTCCCTGCTAACCAAAGGGAAGTAAACCTAAACCCTAAACACCCATAAACCCCAAACCCTAAACACCCTGAACCCTAAACCCTGAGCAACGCTCCCATCCACAGTCCGCACGAAAACGATGTTGTCCTTGGGGACACCCGTGACCTGGCAAAGGCCCGAAGGGTTCAGGCTTGAGGGTTTAGGGTTTAGGCTCACAAGCACAAGAACCTCTTAGAACTTTCACAGTGCAAAATATTGCGCATAGTGTATATATGTATATCTGTGTATATATCTATGCATGAAGTTTGTGGAAATGCGCATTGTATGTATAGACATAAATATACATGTACGTTATATGCGCACATAAACATATAGAAATATGCGTATGTGTGTATGTGTATATATATATACATGTATGATCAGCTGTATGGCTTGATATTGTCTTCATTATCCTAAATCCTAGACCCTAAACTATAAACCTTGAACAGCTGCACTATATTATACAAGATCACCATAACTTAGGAGGACCCCCCACCCCGTAGTAGGGGTATAATAGAAATAAGAGGACCCTAATATAATCCTGATTATCCTTACAATCTCTATCACCGGGTGGGAGCCCTAAACCCTAAACCCTATACTATTACTGGGTGGGGGGTCCACTACGGCTATAGCCCACGGCCTGACAGAAATCCATGGTCTCATGGAGCCACCTGAAGCTGCACCACGGATGGGCTTAGGGCTTTAGGTTAGGGTTTAGTGTTTTTTTTCTTCTTTTTTTTATGCGCCTCTTTTCCACCGGTCCATGTGTGCGAACAAAATCCTTGCAGGCCCCCTCTCAGCAGTCACCCTCCAGGAGCAGACATGCAGGCAATGGAGACACGGCGAGGATGAGGAGGTCACATAGCGCGATCATCCATGACAACCCAGAACCCCTAAAGGATCCAAAAAATGGAACCCCCCCAATATGAACCAATTACTACATTGGGGAAACTAGGGGATTATTAGGGAGTTCCATTTTTTGGATCCTTTAGGGGATCTGGGAATCACGGCCTCCCTGACGCTTGCCATCTTCTCTGAATCCTTGCGGTGAGCGTGAGCTCTTGGCTGTCAAAGTCCGCCTCATGGAGGTCCAGGCTGGTCTCAGCGTTGCCGCCCTCATTGGTACCAGTTCAGGGGTCCCCATAATAAGGACTATAGTATTTTGGGGTGTATATTGGGGTTCCCTGATTTTGGGAAACTGCCATTGCCTGCATGGTGAATGTCTTACCGCTGTTGCCACCGTCATTGCTGTCCACGTGGTCTGCATGCGCATTCTCCATATCTGCACTCTCTTCCACAGAAGTGGCAGCCTGCGGTCCAGGACAAACTCGGTCAGATCCCACACCCTCGCTCGTCTCAAACTTGCTCTGCTTGTTCTTCTGGGTTGGCACCTAAAACCCTTTGAAAAATGTTAGTATATAGGGTCCCTTATTATTAAAGCCATTAGGGGGTATGTTAAGTATCCCAGGGGCCTATCCAGTCTTGAGGACATAGAACTGTTGTAACGTAGACAGGCCCAATCTTGCCTCAACATCACCGTCATCGAGACGACCCTGAAGCCAAACCACAAACCATGTCCGATTCAGTCTCATGTTCATGCGGTCCACCTGGTCGTGGGGACCCGCAACCACTGACACCTCATGACTGTCCAAGAGCCGAACATCATTCGCCGAACATCATTCGTCGCGACATCGATCTTGATAGTGGTGCGCCTGTGCACTGTGTTGCGTCTGTGCATCTCGGTGTGCATTGTTCAGTCTTCCCACGCCTGATGCTGTCCAGCTAGGAACTGTTCATAACGGAGCCTGTCGCCCTCTTCTTCGCGTCTGGCCTCGGCTTCCTCATCTTCAAGGTCACGTCCGTGGAAGAAGCTGACCCGCCCTCCGTCTGCTGCCGAGGTAGTCGACATGTCACGAATGTCCGCAGGAGATGCCGTTTTTCGTCAGCCCATAGTTGATCTCGAGGGTCAATTTCGTCGATCACATGATGCAATACATAGGCCCCTAGTAAGGTGTAATATAAGGGTATAATATAGGGTTATATAGGGATTATATAGGAGTAATAAAGGGGTTATCTAGGGATAATGGAAAAGAAAATGGAAACTAAAGGGATTATATGGGGTAATATAAGGGTTATATTATCTAGGGGTTATCTAGGGATAGTGGGATTATATGGGGTTATGTAGGGTTTAGGGGCCCAAGGCGGCTCTTGATGGGCGAATCCTCTCAGGTGCCGTCCGAGTGCGCTTGCTTAGGGATTATAATATATATATATATAGGGATTATAATATATAGGGATGATATTATATAGGGAATATATTATAAGGATTATTGGAAGTTGCTTCGTCTTCACCCATGGCTTCCAGCTCCATGTGAAGGTCTTTCTGGTGCTTGTTGAAGAAAAGGTTCAGGGTTTAGAGGTTTAGGGATTTAGGGGCTTTTAGGGATGGGCCCCAGAAAATGGAAGGT